ACACGACGCATTGTTCCTCGTAGCGAACCGCCGGCCATTGTGCGACGCGAAAAAAATGATTGCTCGAAAATTTCGTTTTGTCTCGCGTTTTCCGACGTGCGTAATGTCGCGATAAATCTCATATCTTAATTTCCTAATAATTAACGTCTATTATCTTGGTAATTGCATCTTGAATCGAGACTCTAATACAGAAGACACAAAGTTTCTTATTTATTAATTATGAGTAATTAATTGTAAGATTTTCTCCCTTTTCCTTGTTAAGCAATTAAAATATTCGCTCTTCCTACTTATGATTTTTTTAAAGCTCTGTCGAGAGAGAGATGAGCAAACTTTCATAGTAATTCTAGAAGATGGCTCTTCGCGGTTCATTGTTCCAATACAACGAACGATATTGTTTAGAGAGGAGAGTTTCGGAAGAACTTGTGGACAGATCATAGGATCGTTCGAGTAGCGCGGGATCCGCATACATATGCAGCGGGCGATTGGCGGGCGTTTGGCTTTAAGCGTTCGACGTTAACCATAAGCCGTACTACGAGTCATGTAACTAATCGAACTAGCACACTGGACCGAGCCAAACCATCGTCCTCGCTTTGTGGCGAGGATCGCCGACTCCAAAGTTAAAGCCCCAGTCCATGGAGAACTACTGTGGGTAGATAATGCTTGGGTTTGAACCATCTTACTTACCAATAACTTCCGCATACTGAAGCCGAGAATAATGGACGCTGCGTGACTCGAAATTTCCGTATGAAGCGTCGGCGGACGGTTGTTGAGCAAACAATCGCGTCGCATTATTAGCCGCGCAATATCCGCCATAAATAGAATGAAAGAAAATTACGCCTGACGGACACGTTATTTTCAAAATTGCTGGAATATTGTATACACCGTCGAGATTGATAGTAACAAAAAGGAAAAAAAAAAAATGTATCGAAACATGCCGCATTGCAAAAGCGTAACTACTGTTTCCTCGAAATGTCAGTTGCGTTAGATGCAATTTACCGCTCGCGTTCATACTGCTCGTATTGGGTTTATTGATGCATTACAGCGTTTTGTATTTTGCATTTTGCGCAACGTCGCGCATCCGTGAGTCTAATGCGTGATATGGTGAGGATTTTAACAAATGCGTGGCAAAGCTGGTTCAATCAAATTTATTGGTCGGTATCCTTTTGATTTATTCGTTTTTATTTTACTATATCTGGCTCTCAAAGTTTTTTAAGGGAAGAATGCGTTGCATTTTGCGAACATAACTATACTATATATCTAAAATACAGTGCGTAACATGCAGTTATAAATTTCATCCCTATTAGCTCTTTTTTATATACGCTTTCATATTCTAAAAGTATAATAGTCTTGCAAAAATTTGTCACCTCTGTAATAAATTAATAGCACGGACATAATAAACTAATAATAAACAAATTAATTATAAGCGCAGTCTGATTATACCCGTAAATTATTTACAGTTTTACATTTTGTTTTATATGTGAAAGTTCTATATTTTTTTTTCAGCTCTAATTACCGCGTTAAATATAGTATCGTTTAATTAAATTCGCATTTGGAGCGCGTTAAAATTTCACCGACATAATTTACGCGCGCGACGTATCGCGGAAAAGTGTGCCGTGCTAATTACCCGGATCCTTTCATCGCGGAAACCGGGCTTAATTTCGGAAGGATGCGATTATTTCCGCGAATCGCGCATCGCCGACTCCCCGATTATAGGACGCTGGAACTTCCGCGCTCGAACGAAGACGCCAATAATGTAATTGGCAATAGATCCTCGGCGGGACAGGGTGGCCTCCATAAACCTTCAGAAGGCAGTTATATTATCGGCGACGGCGGTTAATCGTCGGGGTATGCTAGCTGGCGATATTTCAAGGCCGTCGTCGTGGCCGCATCGGCGACGATTGGCTGACGTCATATCGGTGTGATTTACGCACGTCCGTACGGATATACCGGAAGATCATTGTTCGTCGTTTGGCCCCCCGCGCACCCACCGCCGTTCGTCTCGCACATTGTGCTCTGTCTTTTCACCCCGCGATGAACAATGTTTGCCGCGGGCCCGCGGGGCCCGGCCGTAAGGGCGATTTGCCCGCAATTTCTGAAAGATCCATTGTTCGATCGCCGATCGTGACCGGAATCTCGCGCGGGCGGGCGCGTTCGCGACAATGGGAAACGATTGGGAAACCGTACGTGTGTGTAATATGCATTCCCGCGTCGCGAGAGGAAACACTCTCTCGCATGCAGAGAATTTTCAGATCGCGGTTCTTCAGGCGCGACGTATCTGGAATTATTATACGTAACGGGGAGACAGAAAACGAGTAATTTTTTTAAAATACATTTTTCATCGTTACATTTTATGTATGCGTATGCAGTTGCAGAGATTGAAGAATGTATAATTAATTTCTTTTTACTAACAATTTCTATTACACATTTTTCAAACAATATTAAATACTTTGATTAAATATCGAAATTAAATATATTCTCCTAATTAAAATTGGCGTCATCTTTTCAAGTAGAGAATAATTCAATGTGACGAAACAATATTTTATTCTTAAAAATATTTTATACGCATGATCATATATACATTATCAAGTGCTATATGACAATAAAAGGAAAATGTAATTTATATCAAACTCTCGAGATATTTCTCGCTCGTATAAACGGCAACTTTTAGTAACAATGAAAGTACACGAGAATAATGAAGCCTGCGGTACCACCAGCCTGTGGACCGTACGCGTGTAATTATATTTTTTGAAATAATCCTTTCCACTCGCCGGCTGGTTAAGAACAGTATAAATTCTCATTTCCGGCGCGAACATTGGTACGCATACTGCACGCGTAAGCACGTATATTTTTTAAATAAAGTTCCTTTTGCAAATTATATCTAGAGAAATATTTCGCAATTTAATTATGTACCGTAATTCTACAACAAAAGTTGCAAAATATTACAACGAGATGTGCGCAGTGTAACTGTAAACATTTAGTGTTTAGAAATTATCCTAAATGAAATTAACCATTTTCGTTGCTCCTTGAATCTTAATCTTTATTTACGGAATTACGCTTGTGCAACACTCATGAAAATAATATTAGCATAAACTTCTCACTTCTCGTAAACGAAGATTTCTCGTCATATCACTTTACAAGGCCCTGCCTTGATGTTTACCTCGCGAGGCCCCAAGAAAATAATATAACTCCACCGTGACATCGTTTTGGACGGCTTACATGATACGAGGAAGGCAAAGGTAGAATTCAAAACAACGGTGGAAAAGGCTGCGCCTTGGGATACAGCTTGGCGTTCATAGCCAACGTTAAAACAACGTTTCCGTAATATCTGCTTTAACGGCGCCTCCGGGTTACATTGCATGAATTGCAACAGCGCACAGTTTTCTTTCGTTTGCTTTGTGTGCGCTCGCATTTCTTAATGCCAACGTGGCATTTGCGAGAATAATCTAGACTTTATATGAGCATATGCCCGATGGGACTTATGCGCGCGAGTAACAAAGATCGTTGCCGAGAGAAAATCAAAATTTGAAATGCACTGCAATATGAAACCTGCCCGAAAGACCCATGTTAGAATTAATTGTCAAAATCGAGCTGCGATTATAATTCTTTGAACAATCTTTAGGAAGAAAAAGATAATTACATTTTTCCGACTTTTATTTTTTGCAAAGAAAAAGTCGAATAATATTTTTCTCATAATTATTCAATTCCCGTCTACACAAACAGCAGGGTACAATCGTATGTCGCGATGTTAAAAGGATTATCTGAGATT